TTAACAGCACATTGTAATTAATACAAAATGTTTGAAATAATAAAATAAATGTCAAATATGTTCCACGGTGTATCACAATATAATTACGATATCATATTAAATGACTCGCGTCACTAAAACTAGATATTTATAAGAAATTGTTTCATTAATTCCGAAACGAAATACTAATTGGATTTATTTCACATGATATAACGAAATCAAAGTTTTCAATATATTAATATACGGGGCTCGGTCGTATTTAAGAAATAAAAAGATTTAATAAAATGCATTTTTAATAAAAAAGAGAGACTTCTTCTGACTTATTTCTTAACTCTTAGTATACACCTTAGTTTTAAGCAATCTTACGTAATTCATCAATTAGCGTTTGTAGATATCGTATCATTTTTCGTGGATTAATGCGACACTCAGAGCGACTCGTACACGTCCATCTCCCTCCGAAGTCGCCGAGCGAATGCCGAACCGAAGTGATGACGTAGTTAATCACCGCGCCGTCCCGCTCGCTGTTCGCCACGTGACACGCTCCCCCTTGCTATTCGCCGGCGCTTCCCCTCGCTGTTCGTCGTTCGGATATCCAAATGTTACGTGAAAAATATTCACGGTTTATTCAATTATTCGTATTTTACATGATTTTGATAAACGGGTTTCGTCATATGTTTCGCGCTTTGCTTTTGATATCTTTAGCTCTTGTTCAATTCTATTTTACTTGCACGGTTTTTTTAAACAACAATAATTATTCGCGAGGAGTATTTTGATATTCCAATATTATGCCTCAATTTTCATTATTCTCTTTAATGATTGATACTTAAATAAAGGTTGATAAAATATTCTATATATGTTCTCTTTATATGTATAAAGATACAAATTATATGTATAAAGATGCAAATTTTTGTAATATCGTGAAACAATTTGCGCTAAATACAGCTTTAGCTAAAAGTATTAAATATCTCTTGTTAATCATTATTTAATTTTTCAGTTAATAAATTAATTTAAGACTCAACTAATTCTGCGTTTCAAAAATTCTTTAAACTTACGTATAATGCCGATCATGACCCGATAAAATAATTTACGATTATTTTATTTGAAATAAAAAAATATAAAGTAAGTTCCAGAAACTTATTTTAAAATACAAAATCATAGGAATCGGTAAAAAACAGGTACGACTTGGTTAAAATAAAAAATATAAAATAGTTTCCGGAAACTTATATATTAGTAAAAAACAATAAAATAATCAGACATAAAAATAAAAAAATTAATTAAAAATATACTTACCTGCAAAAACGAGCTACTAAATTTATTAGTAGACTGTTTTTTTTTTCTTTACGGTATCCGCGGTTTTTTGTTCAATTTTTGAATGAAAAAACCGCGGATACTTTTTGGGGGTGGTGGAGGGCCTCTATAAGTTGATTCGTTTTTATTCATTTAAATTTTCTTTACAACTTTAAATTAAATGTAGTTTGCTTACAATTTAAAAAATTCCAACTTTATTCAACGGCTTGGAAATTGCAAATATATTTGACAAAAACAGCAACCTTTTTAATATTAAATGCGCAACTAAGTTCTCGCTGTTATTTTGATGAAAATGCATCAAAATAACAGCGAGAACTTAGTTGCGCACCTAATACTATCAAAGATGA